AGCTGATCACAAACTCATCCTCGCAATATGAACAAAGTCATGAGAGGCTAGCTGATGCCTCAATAGCAATAATTCCGTATCCTCCTAACTACTACACTTAACTTTATAATCCGGCTTTATACCACAGAAACACTTATCACCAGTATGAATAACCACTACTGTTCTGTTCACAGTTTTAAATCCAGTCCATTCCAAGCGAAAAACAATTTCCACCTTTTAAAAGGGCCCCAAACAAACACATCCGTTCACTGGACAGTCCAACTACTAACTGCCGTGTGTCCCTCTACCTGTTTGTCCAGTCCCCGTGTAACCTCCCCACTCAGTTACCTGTTTCGCCGTGCGGGTCTACACACAAGCCGTCTGACCAGTAATTGACCTGTCTGCTGTTATGAGTCAGTCTAGTCGTTGTTTGTCTTTATCTCACAGTGTGTGGTAAAGTTGACTCATGACACCGGTAATATTCTGGTCACTGCCCACTACCCTATTCTCTTCAGACAGTGACTTAAGTGTACTTTCCCCAGCGTTCGCTTGCTTCAAACAGATCCTGGTCAGATCTAACTTGTCATGCAACCATTCACCACCCAGTGGTACAGAACCATTTCAATTAATATAAGCAAAACTTTAATATAAGTTGGTCTTTGGGACAAAAAAACATAAGCAATACTTCGTCCGTGGCTTAAGCGCTGTGAGTACGACTCGTAATTCCAACGTACCGTGATCAAAACCCACTGCTGGCTGTGTGGATTTTTATTATGGTATGGGGTGTCACAGGTCGACCCAGCCTAAAATGGGTACCAGGATGGCTGTCCTGGGGAAGTAAAGATGGCCGGCGTAATGCTGACCACATTACTTGCCTAGTGCCGACAGTCTGTAAAAATATGGGCGCTCTTCTCAATTACCCGATATGTCTAAAGGCATGAAAAGGGATCTTATTTTACTTTTTTAATACTTCAATGTAAGTGCAGGACAACCAAATCTATTATTCATTTCATAAATAAATAAAATATTGTAAATATCAGTTTTCAGAACAGAAATACACTTCATCTTACACCAAGTGTGGATTCCAGGTCCCATTCTGAGGGAATTCACACCAGACCCCTAGCAAGCATGCCATAGAGAGCAACTCATTAGAGGGTTGCTGAAACAGGTTATGTGTTGGGCTAACAGTTGCAGATATTTCAGCCTGGCTGTAAACCACAACAGAAAGTGCCAACCATAATTTTAATGGTAAATGCAAAAGTAGAAAAAAGATCCCATCTTGTTCCTATTGTACCTTGACGTGAGGTAAGCATACAACTGCTGGAAATTGTCCATTTGTATGTTCTTCAACGAGCATATTTTTCTTAAAAATAACTGCTTTGTCTGTCAAGAGTGTCCTGTTACAGAACTTTCAAATCAAGAGTGTCCTGTTACAGCACTTTCAAATCAAGAGTGTCTTGTTACAGCGCTTTCAAACCAAGAGTGTCCTGTTACAACACATTCAAATCAAGAGTGTCCTGTTACAGCACTTTCAAACCAAGAGTGTCCTGTTACAACACTTTCAAATCAAGAGTGTCCTGTTACAGCACTTTCAAATCAAGAGTGTCCTGTTACAGCACTGTCAAACCAAGTGTCCTGTTACAGCACTTTCAAACAAGAGGGTCTTGTTACAGCACTTTCAAACAAGAGGGTCCTGTTACAGCACTTTCAAACAAGAGGGTCCTGTTACAGCACTTTCAAACAAGAGGGTCCTGTTACAGCACTTTCAAACAAGAGGGTCCTGTTACAGCACTTTCAAACAAGAGGGTCCTGTTACAGCACTTTCAAACCAAGAGTGTCATGTTACAGCACTTTCAAACCAAGAGTGTCCTGTTACAACACTTTCAAATCAAGAGTGTCCTGTTACAGCACTTTCAAATCAAGAGTGTCCTGTTACAGCACTGTCAAACCAAGTGTCCTGTTACAGCACTTTCAAACAAGAGGGTCCTGTTACAGCACTTTCAAACAAGAGGGTCCTGTTACAACACTTTCAAACAAGAGGGTCCTGTTACAGCACTTTCAAACAAGAGGGTCCTGTTACAGAACTTTCAAAACAAGAGTGTTCTCTAACAGCACTTTCAAACAAGAGGGTCCTGTTACAGCACTTTCAAAACAAGAGGGTCCTGTTACAGCACTTTCAAATCAAGAGTGTCCTGTTACAGCACTTTCAAAACAAGAGTGTCCTGTTACAGCTAGGGCTGTACCGAATAGTGATTTTTACTATTCGGTGGAATACAAATACGAATAGTGTATAAAATATATCTAAAAAAAACACACACATTCATAATGTCAAATGTACGCCGAACTTTTACTTCATATAAAGTAGCACAGAATAGTCATCTTCTTCTTTAGCATTCTGAGCCCTTGAGGTTTACTGCTGCAGATATCTCTCGTCTCCATCCATCTTTCTAGCTGGCCTTCTCTTCACAATTTGTGACACCAGTTGTTTGCAGGTTTGGCTGGACATTATCTCTCGAACTTCTTTTTTGTCTGCCTCGTGGTCTACCCCCATTCCTCTCTCAGGTGTATACAGTTTTACTTTTCTGTCATCTGGCATTCTTTCAATATGCCCCAACCATTTTAGTCTGCTAGCTCTCATGATTCCAGTGATCAATGGAGATTTAAACAGATTATGTGTTACGCTGTTGTTTCTCACTCTCCATTCACCGCTGTTATCATCTTTGATGGGTCCAAAGATTTGTCGTAAGGATGTTTTCGAAAACCTGTAATAAGGCCTCATCTCTTTTATTTCTGCTTCAAGTTTCAGAGCCATATAAAACAACTGGTCTTATCAACGTTTTATATATTTTGATCTTGGTGTTGCGAGACAGACACTCTGACTTTAGTAGATGTTGAAGGGCATAGTATACTTTATTTCTAGATTGTATTCTAGGTTGTATTTCTTCTCTCAGCATGTTGGAGCAGTTGAATTTTGCACCCAAGTACTTATATGTTTCCTTTCGTTTGATTTTCATATTATCGACTTGGATGGGGCCGGAGTTTATATTCTTTCCATGTCTAGTTAGTATTCGTACAGAATAGTAAACATTTAAAAACATTTTATGTTTTGCATCCTTCAGTCAGTCTATGGTAACTAATAACTAGGAATGAAAGAATCCTAAGTATTATAACAAGTAACTAAACTTAGAAATTGTCACTGACAGCTTAGTTAATGCAGGAAAGCTTCATAAGCTTTCAACAAAACCAATCGTTCCATGTTGTCAGCATTAAGGCCGTGTATGCAGAAGCAGGTGTAAGGTAACTACTATTCGTATTCGGCCTGACCGCAACTATTCAGCCGAATACCAAATAGTCAATAGGTCCACTATTCGGCCCCGAAGCGAATATTTGGTACAGCACAGCATTTTAAAATCAAGAGTGTCCTGTTACAGCACTTACAAACCAAGAGTGTCCTGTTACAGCACTTTCAAACCATGAGTGTCCTATTACAGAACTTTCAAACCAAGAGTGTCCTGTTACAGCACCATCAAACCAAGAGTGTCCTGTTACAGCACTTTCAAATCAAGAGTGTCCTGTTACAGCACTTTCAAACCAAGAGTGTCCTGTTACAGCACTTTCAAATCAAGAGTGTCCTGTTACAGCACTTTCAAACCAAGAGTGTCATGTTACATCACTTTCAAATCAAGAATGTCCTGTTACATCACTTTCAAATCAAGAGTGTCCTGTAACAACACTTTCAAATCAAGAGTGTCCTGTTACAGCACTTTCAAATCAAGAATGTCATGTTACAGCACTTTCAAATCAAGAGTGTCCTGTTAAAGCACTTTCAAACCAAGAGTACCATGTTACATCACTTTCAAACCAAGAGTGTCAAGTTACAGCACTTTCAAATCAAGAGTGTCCCGTTTCAGCACTTTCAAACCAAGAGTACCATGTTAAATCACTTTCAAATCAAGAATGTCCTGTTACAGCACTTTCAAACCAAGAGTGTCCTGTTACAGCCTGCATACAAAACCATAGGGAGTTTTGTCAAGTTAGCAGTTAGATGCTTGCCTAGTTGCCTGAAGATTTTTGGTTCAAATCTACAATCATAATCTTTTTTTTTTTAACTGACATTGGCTGCCTGGACGACCCAGCCTAAATGGGAACCAGTTAAAGTCCCAAACAGCAAAGCCAGCCAACATCTCCCTCTGTGGGTTCCACGGTCCCATTGTGAGGAAAACAAGAACAGACCCACTGCTTCCCCAACAAGCACATCGTAGGGGTCAACTAATTGGAGACGTCTTCTGAAGTCAAGGAACAACCAACTGCACACAAATAAGCCAGTAAAACAGACAGATGAACATGCAAAACTCAGACCATGGCCTAAAGCCAAAGTCTAAATGGATAAACAACCAGGACTTTCTGCCGGAATAAAGAAGAAGAAGAAGCCCACATCATCCATCGCGAGCTGACTAGTCTATAAAACTCTAGCACCATATGTCCAACGCACCTCTGCCATGACAAGGGTCCTTTACTATGCAAAACCATAAAGGTCTCACTCTCTACTGTAGCCAAGATTAGAAACAAGTATTACTTTGAAACCGGAGTACATCTGCCTGAGAGGCCAGGAACAATCAGCCTACACATAAATAAGCCAGATCTGTAAAAAAGGTATCTGCACACAAAACTCAAGTTTTACAGCAAAATCAAAGTCCAGAAGAAGAAGAATAGGAAGCTTGCTTGCTTGCTGTACCCACTAGGACATTACACAAGCGATAAACTCCTGGTGACACAAAGTGCCACCATGCGGATGAGGATCCCCTGTGGAGAGGTCCTAGAAACCCCTTTCAGCCATTATGGCCACAATTGTGGCCCAGCTATAATCAGGGCCTCTGGCAAAAGCCAGGGTGGGGCTTCAAATAATGAAAAGCTGCATCCCACAAGGAAATGACTTGGATAATATAAAAAAGGAAGAAGAAGCAGAGAGGGGAAACAAGTCAAAGGACATTTACTATCTGTCAGTGACAAGGTGCACTTACATGGCACTTCATCCACTCGGTAATATCATATACATGTGCATCCATCAATGCATAGTAGTGCCAGTAAAACCCCAGCATTGTTGACTCAGCCCAGACATCACCCTGTGAACAAGACAGATGTCAATGTATGTTATCACAGACAGTAATCATTTAAACAACGATATTCTGTTAAACTAGTCTAGATTTTGTTTTTGCGTCGTTTAATGTTTCATCCAAAGTTCACTGGATGAAAGGGAATTGTGCAAGGACTTGGATTTGAGTGAGGAAGAGTTGCGCAGTTCATCGTCCTCAATCTTTTGCCTGTGTCCGTTTTAATCTTATGGCAGGACAGTCTAGGTTATAATAGTAAACGCAGAGGTTTTTTTTCTATTTTTATATTGGATAATTATGCTTGTGAAACACTTCGGATTTTTTTTAATACTGCACAGATTATGTATTAATTGTAACATATTGTAGGAGTATAGATTCTTAAGTTGAGTATATCTCAAGTATACTTTTAAAATAAAAGTCTGTCGCCACAATCAGCATTACTGCACACAGGCCACCTTTTCCTCCCAGGAATATACCCAGTACCCCATCAGGACCTGAACCCATAACCTTCCAATCCTCAGGTGAGTGTCTAGCAGCTGCACCATGGTGGCTCCCAAGCATCTGAGAAGAAGCACAATGACAGTCCTGAAATCCCATGCTTCAACTGTAGAAGTTTTCTCAAAGAGAGAGAGAGAGTCTTGCTAGTCATACTTGGCATTGCCATGGGCTGAGATTCTCAAGCTTTCCTCTACATGAATTGCTTGCTTACAAAGTAGCTCCTCTTCTAATTTGGGGTTAAGATGTTTGCCAGAGAGATTGCCAGACGTCTCTATCAGCAGTTTTCTTCCTGGCTTTGTACTATTCCAGTCCTCTGTCAGTTAGGGATTGTCAGATGTTGTCTTCCCAGCCGACCCTGGGTCACCCTGGAGGTCTGGTTCCCCGGTTCTTAGCCTCCTATGCCTTCCGATGGTGACCGATTTTCTACCATTCTGCATTCGTGTCCAAACCATTGTAACTGTGACTTATCCACTCTTGTTTGTAAGGATTGGGTATCAAGATCTCGATGTATAGTCTGACTGCAGACTTTGTCCCTTCTTGTCACTTGGACCAGCTTTCTCAGATATATCTCATTTATGAGGCCTGAAGCTGGCTACTGTGAGCTGTTGTCATTGTCCATGACTCACACCCATAGGTAACGACTTGTACACAGGTAGAGCGGTAAACAGCCATTTTCGTCCTCTTGCCAGTCCCTCTTTTGCTAAGAAACCCTCAGTTCGTGGCCTGGAAGAGTCTCCCAGCAGCTGCTTTTCATTCTCTCCATGACACACGCGTTATCCCTGTGTGGGTTCTGGTACCCCATCTGGACGGGGGGAAAAAAACAGACCCACTGCCTCCCTAACAAGCATGTCTCCCCCTTCCCCCACCCCCCGACTCCCCTCCCACCTCGAAGTCAAAGGGCATCTGCCTGAGAGGTGAGGAACTAACAGACCCCGAAGTCAAAGCGCATCTGCCTGAGAGGTGAGGAACTAACAGACCCCGAAGTCAAAGGGCATCTAGTGTTGGGACCAAACAGGTGAAGCCACGCCTGACGTATTTTGCTTCCCAATTTTGTCGTGCAAAGGGCATAGCTGAAACAACGTTAAAGGTGTCTAACGTAAGATAAAAAAAGAATGTACCTATTTGTGTGGCCACAAACGTCCTAGACCTGCGGGCTGCTCCCCACTGATCTCCGGAGAGCGCAGCCTTGTAGCGCGGGAAGCTCAATACACGGTTGTGAGGTTAAGCAGTCATGGGCAGGACGTGACGATTCCTTGGGTGAGCCCAGAACCAGAGCATCATGTGTCGGCTCTGCATTTATGGAAGCCTCCTTGGATGGCGGGGAATGCCCATGATCTGCCCCTGCCTTCCCTTGAGGGCTGAAAACTCTACATAGAGCTGCCTTAAGGACGACATGCCGGGGGCCACACCCGTTAAAAGTCAAAGAGGACACCACATAAATGAGGCAACATCTCGACCCACACAAAACAATGGCCACAGTCAACCTAGAAATAGGCTTGACGTCTTCCTCCGAAGTCAGAGTACATCTGCCGGAGAGGCGGGGAACGAGTACTGCAAACAAATAAGCCAGTAAAACGGATGTACACGCAAAACTCAGGTCAAGGTAAAAGCCAAAAGTCCATTTTGGACGAACAACCGCGACTTACCGCCGGAATTCACAGCCGGTGAACAAGAAGAAGAAGAAGAAAGGGCATCTGCCTGAGAGGTGAGGAACTAACAGACCCAGAAGTCAAAGCGCATCTGCCTGAGAGGTGAGGAACTAACAGACCCAGAAGTCAAAGGGCATCTGCCTGAGAGGTGAGGAACTAACAGACCTTGAAGTCAAAGCGCATCTGACTGAGAGGTGAGAAACTAACAGACCTTGAAGTCAAAGCGCATCTGCCTGAGAGGTGAGGAACTAACAGACCCCGAAGTCAAAGCGCATCTGCCTGAGAGGTGAGGAACTAACAGATCCCGAAGTCAAAACGCATCTGCCTGAGAGGTGAGGAACTAACAGACCCCAAAGTCAAAGGGCATCTGCCTGAGAGGTGAGGAACTAACAGACCCCGAAGTCAAAGGGCATCTGCTGAGAGGTGAGGAACTAACAGACTCCGAAGTCAAAGCGCATCTGCCTGAGAGGTGAGGAACTAACAGACTCAGAAGTCAAAGGGCATCTGCCTAAGAGGTGAGGAACTAAGTCTGTTTACAAATAAAAGATCTGTAAAATGGATGTCCTGGCAACCATCAAGTTCTGGAGTAAGTCAGTCCAGACGTGGATGAACAACCACAACTTTCTGCTTAAGTTGACAGTCAATGAACGTTAAGCAGAAGAAGAAGATTTAAGGTAAGGAAATCATATTACTGGATTCATCAGGTTGGCCTGGCACCAGATCCATCCTGGTTACAAACCTATCACTATTAAGAACTGCCATGCTGATCGATGTGTGCATTAACTACGCCACCACCACAACCAAAAATCTGGAAACTAGAAAGAAATCTAATAAACATAATGTGTTTGAGTATCTCTACATTACCTATGTCACACACTAATCCTTGCTACAACCAATGAACACAAAATTATAACAACACAGATTAGAAGAGTACTGCTGGAATAACAACAAGAAGACATCAAATTCATAAAGAGGAAATTATAAAAAGACTAGGGCAGAAACCAGTCACACAATTCATCAAAGAGCAACAGATGAGAATGCCCTAGTACCAACTGCCACACGCTGAAAAAAATATAATGAGCACAGAGCAAGTGGGAGTTCACATACAAGATGGAATGATGGCATCAAGAACACATTTAAACAAATCAACACCAACTTATGTAAAGCATTAGAAAGAGCACATAGTAAGATCCTTACATCTCACCCAAACACTGATGAAATCACTGCAACAACAAAAAAAGAAAAAGGCAATTAAAAAAAAAAAATAAAAAATGTGAAAACCAAACAATGGTTATATACACATCTACACACAGAGGACTTACCTCTCGAGCAGAATGGTGTGTATTGCAGAGCTCACAAAACCTGGCACTATAGATAGGTCGCTCCACCGGCACACGTCGATGCTTGCCGGTACAGTTATCACACGGCATGGTGTTGGCAGCCTTGTCAGGGCAAATACAAAATATACTAGAATTATTAAAATTAAAATAATATGAAATGAGAGAGGACAGAAAAATGTCCACAAAAATTCAATTTAGTGTTTAAAACTGGCAACAACAACAACAAAGACTCAGTTTTACTGAAACCACACTCCTCCCCTTCCCCCCACCCCACCAACCCCAAAGAAAATCTTCTTTTTCCCTACTGTAAAGTGTCACAGAGAGGAGTTAGATGTAGTTTCCTGTCTTTTGCTAGTAGCATAGCTTGAGTCAATGTCATACTGTGTTTCTGTAGTGTCCCTTTCACTTCATCTATCTATGTCTTTCTTGGTCGACCTCTGAATGTTAGTACCTCTCATTATCAGTATTCTTCTGTTTCTTTTTCTGAGCCCTTGAGGTTCACAACTGCTAATATCACTCAACTGCATCGCCTCTCTCACTGGCTTTCTCTCTTTAGTCAGTGATCCCAGGTGTGTGTACTTCTGCTTATATAATAATAATTATGAATATAAAATATAAATTGCTGCCTAACTTACGTTTTTCACATTGCTCAGACCAGAGCAAGTTATTATTCTACGCTTAGAACAGGACACTATCGACTTCGCAGCCACATGTACACAAAATTTAAAATCAGCGAATCAGCCATGTGCACTGGCACCTGAGACAACAGATCATGTCCTCCAAGACTGTCCCAAATACAACATATCAAAGCAAATCTTTTTTGGCCAAGAGAAACACCGGTGCAAGTCAAACTTCATAGGCCACTGAGTTAATTACAAAAGACAGTGAAATTTATACTAAAGACATCATTTCAGACATAGATAATCTATTTCAAGTGAACGAAAGAAGAAAAAGAACACTGCACACATCTAGATGAAACAACTGGATAAGTTTTTATTCAACATAATGCCATTTTAAATGCCAGCAAGAAAATGATTCCGATCACATCTAGTGGTGATCAACTGGCTATTTGAGTCTACAGATCAGCCACTGTAAATCAATATTTTACAATAACTGAACAATGCAACCAAGAATGACCAATTCACTAATATGAATGTCTGGATCTGTTACAGAAAATAAGTTCCTCAGTATTAACATAAACAGGCTGCCCTATTGATTTCAAGATCAACTACAGCAATCTGCCCTTCTAAAGAATGACAAAGAGCTATATGTGCAACAAAATCTGCATGGAACAGGATTGTAGGGTACACTAGGGTGGTAACTGGAGTTCTAATTACAACTCCCTTGGAGGATAAATGAGATATCTGAGATTTTCCTTGTCAGTCTACAACCTAGAATGTGCCCCTGGAAGCTGTAGGGGTGGTCAAATCTTCAGGTGACAACTCATGGAGGAAAACAATCAGACAGACCCCAAGTAAACAGCTCACAGGGGAAAAAAAATCAGACTATGAGCAGACAGCTCACTGGGGAAACCAATCAGACCATGAACTTACAGCCAACATGGGAAAACAATCAGACAGACCACAAGTAGACAGCTCACATGGGAAAACAATCAGACAGACCACAAGTAGACAGCTCACAGGGGAAAACTATCAGACAGACCACAAGTAGACAGCTCACAGGGGAAAACAATCAGACAGACCACAAGTAGACAGCTCACATGGGAAAACTATCAGACAGACCACAAGTAGACAGCTCAGATGGGAAAACTATCAGACAGACCACAAGTAGACAGCTCACAGGGGAAAACTATCTGACAGACCACAAGTAGACAGCTCACAGGGGAAAACAATTAGACCATGAGCAGACAGCTCATGGGGGGAAAACAATTAGACAGACCCTGAGCGGACGGCTCATTCTAGATCCCTGGATCAGCCACAGAAAATCAACATATAAATAAAAATATGACAGTAAGCTGTCAAATAAAGACAAATCAAATTTAGGATAATCACAACATATCACTTTAAAACCTAAAATTTACTTACCTCTTGAATTTTTGTCTGCAATTTAGACAGCATGTCTGCAAACTCCCTCTAAATAGAAAAAAAAAATTTAATCATAATAAAAGCTGATGTGTATCAATATGGAAAGCAAATTGTCAAAGACATAATACTACTAAAAAAAACCTGCATAGCTACTAAAATTCTTGTACGCAAGAATACACAAGTGGAAAAGACAATGTGTGGGTAGTTCTTCATATTAAGATGCAATTAGACTGGCCGGTTCTGCACCACTTGGTGGTGAATTGATTTATGACACGCTAGATGTTGTGAGGGCCCTTTGGGAGTGAATGAACAATGCCGGGGCACAAATACATCATTACGGTCTGAGGAGGATAGCCCTGCAGGATGTTACCAGAGGATCTGGCCGATTCTCAACATCCAAGGGAAGGGCCAGATGGATGTACAATCAGACAGTTACTGGTACCATTGGAAGTGGAACTCTTCGCTTGCTGCTAAAGATGGGGACAGAGTGCTAATGAAGATGTCCCGAGATCTACAACATTGATTGTTAATTCAACACTCAAATCAGATGGTCAAACTTATTCTTCCTCTAAATTTGTGATCAACGTAATGTATTGCTGATCCATCTGCTCCTTGACTTTTCTCATGTTCCGCAATCCTTATTTTGTAATTATACAGTTGTAATGAACAGGCAGACAGATTGGCTGGATCTGTACCACTGGGTGGCTGGATCTGCACCACTGGGTGGTGAATTGATACACGACAAGGCAGATGTGGTCAAGGCCCTTTGGGAACAAGGATCAGAATCAGCAGAGACAGAAGATTACTATGGCCTTGAGAGAATGAGGCATCTGGCCGGCTCACCTAGAGGAAAGGCAAGACGGACATATAACCAGATTGTGACCAGTACCATCATGTATTAGAACTCAGAGTTGGCTGCTGAAGATGAGGACGGAGAAGTGCTGTGATGTCAATTCTTGACTCAACTCAACATAACAGCTGTAAACCATTAGAAAAAAATATGGATCGTTCTGCAGCTTCCATTCTCACCAAATTTATAAAGTTACCTAAAGATTAAGCAATTGCTGGGATTGATATGGGCAAAGCCAACCACACATCACATGTCTCCTCGGGCAATATCTACCAGCAGCTAAAAAAACACAATCTAAAGCAAACATTTTAGTAACCATTACTCACCATTGCCTCTATTTCACTTGCATCCAATGTATGACTGTCAAATTGCTTTCGTTTTTCCTGAAAAAAATATCAATCATATGAATGGTTGATACAAGTTTCTGAAAGTTAAAATATATATATATATATGTATATATATATGTGTGTATATATATATATATATATATATATATATATATATATATATATATATGTGTATATATATATATATATATATATATATATATATATATATATATATATATATATATATAAAATAAATAAACAGTTAGTAATTACATCAGCCATGCACTCAGAATGGATAAGACCAGACACACCCCCCCACCCATCTCCCCCCCCCCCACCCCACCCCCCCCCCCCCCCACCCCAACCAATGAAGCCCTCATAAGGACACAGGACACCGGAAGAGGAAAGAAAACAGGGAAGACAAAGAAAGACCCTCCATAGAAATGTTATCAGGGAAGGCTCAACCAAGGGCCTAATGAACATCCAAGACCTAAAGCAGGTGACAACAAACTGCCAGACATGGAGAGCTATGACCTCTGCCCTAAGCATCGCCCCAGGCTCAAGAGGAAAGACCAGCTAACTAACTAGTAAAGGACCTAATTTCATGCCACTGACACACTGGACTTATATTTAAAGATTCATACTTTTTATGGACTGATTGGCACTTAACATGTAATGTGGCTATCATCATGCTGGCAGTATTTACTTCCCCAGACATCTCCTGGTACTCATTTCACAGTGGGTCAACATGGGCGCTCAGATGAATTACAAAAACCTACTCTGATGAGGATTTGAACCAAAGTCATTCAGCCCTGCAGGAGAGTATCTCGCCACTCTACTCAAATAACAGTACTACTTTTGTGTTTGACTTAAAAAGGGTAGCTGGCACACTGTGATGTTGCTTACAGCTAGCGCGTGATATCTGTGCCTTTCGGTCCTGGCACATTGAATTTCAGTATACCCTTCATTAGTCACCTTTTATGTCATGTTCGCTAAGCTCAAGAACACAGAGGGCACCAAATTGTTATACTTAGCGACTCATTGTCTGTTCTCCAAGCACTATCCAGCAAAAAACAAGACAAAATAATTGCTGATCTAAGGACCAACATTGGCTTACTCTCCAAGAAAGCAGAACTAGTCTTGCAGTGGATACCAGCCCACTGTGGTATTCAAGGAAATGAGAGAGCAGACGAGTTGGCAAAAGCTGGGAGTAATCTTCCACAACCTCATCCACCACACAGCTACAAGGAAACCAAAACAGCGCTAAAGCAGTCTTTCAAGCGGGAGTGGAAAAGGCAGAATGGAGATTACAGACCAGAGAGTGACAGCATAAACAAACTCAACAGGAAAGAACAAACATCAATTCTTAGACTTCGGACTGGACACTGTGGTCTTCGAGCACACTTGTACAGGATAGGCATAAAAGAATCTGCTGCCTGTGATTGTGGAGCAGAAAGACAAACCCCTGAACACATACTGCAGTACTGCCCTTACCTCTCCCAGCAAAGACTGTGGATCTGGCCCAAAGGAGCCACATTGCAAGAGAAGCTATGGGGGACCGGTGGCGACCTTAAACGCACCCTCCTATTTGTGACCCAGACGGGACTCAATGTTTAGCATGACTGATATCGAACGCAGAAGAAGAAGGAAAATGTTCGCTAAGGGGCAGTATTCGTTTATATATTATATGACTCAGCATCATCATCAGGTGCCTTCAGATGTCCTGCAGCATGTATCAGTTCGTGCGCTGACACACCTCCATACCATGCAACAAGACTGTCAAGAATCTTCTCTCGTCTTCCTCTATCCCTCCTTCCACAGATCTTTCCAGTGGTCATAATATGTTATTTTTTTCCCTTTTCTCATAACATGGCCAAAAAATTATGACTGTTTCCTTCTTATGTCTGTGATAAGTTGTCTTCGGGCTCCCGCCTCTTTCAAAACCTCTTGACTGCTCTTTTTGTTAACATTACATGACTAAGTCTGAATTAGAGTTACAAGAAACACTTACTGGCTCTCCAATCATCTCAAAAGCATGGCCCAAAATTTTGAAAGCTTCCTCTGCACCTGGTTCTTGGTTCTGTTCAATATATTTGAAACAAATATTTTAAAATATGAACTAATATGGTAAAAGTATGAGCCATCACAACCAGTAAACTTAAATGGTAAATAAATAGACATGAACTAACACAGCCGTATGTAGTGTTTTTAGTTTAGCCGTTAAAAGTCAGCCAGGCTTTTCATAAGTACAAGCAAGGTTTTCGTTGATAGATGGTATTTCCCGCCTCAAGCATTTTTGGGGGAGGGAGGGGGTGTGGAGGAGGGCAGAAAAAGCCGCAAAAGCACGGCATGGCTAGGCTACTTGCCTGCTATTCGTCTGATTATTGTTCAAATCCTCACATAATGTCTCTAAATTTAAATTAGTGAGCATGTCTTGGAAATCCCTGTGGGTTGGTGCTGAAGCTACATTTGCATTTCGTCCAATACTCTGAAGTGAGATCAAGACATATAATATAAGCACCTGGCCACAGGGAAGTCTTACCTTCAAATGCCCTTTAAGTGTGGGAGATGTAGTAGTATTAATTTAATCATTGTTCAACACATCTGGGTTATAACTGGAATATATATATATATATATATATATATATATATATATATATATATATATATATATATATATATATATATATATATATATATATATATATATATATATATATATATATATATATATATATATATATATATATATATATAGTTTTTAATACTTATATAATGGATATTTATGCATAACAATTAGGTTTGGTTTAAATCACCTTTGATCACTGGCAACATGAGAGCTAATAGACTGAAATTATTGGGGCAGATTGAAAGAATGTCAAATGACAGAATAGTAAAAACTGAGATGAATAGTCGTAGACCACGAGGCAGACCAAGAAGACCATGGAGAGATAATATCCAGACAGACCTACAAACACTTGGTGTCACCAACTGGAAAGAGAAGGCCAACCAGAGAGATGAATAGAGGTGGGTGATATCTGCAGCAATGAACCTCAATGGCTCGGAATGCTGAAAAAGAAGTTAAAGAATTAGGTTTGGTTATTCAATATTGCATAGCTTTTGTATATGATTTTAGGGGTATAAATTGTCAAGTTTAATATATTTTAAGTGAACTCTCTAACAATTATAGTAATTATCGTGTGGTCTATCTCTGCAGAGACTTTAACTAATCCGGGATGCCATTATACTGTCTAAAGATATATTAACTGTATAGTTCTTCCCTGTAGTTCTCTAGAGTCATCCGCTCCCAGTATATTTTCTGTTGTCACAGGCTTATTGCAGTGAATCATATATTCATTAAGAGCAGCAAGATGGGATATAGGAGAGCAAGAGAATTCATGATCAGTGCGCTACGGGAACAGTTAGCATCTATACCTCAAGACATTTGCAGCGGGAGACGGAAAACCTATGGGTATGCCAGGTATGCTATTATATCGATTTTTAAATCAGTTCTTATTGCCATCATTCTGTTGACTACTTCGACTACCCCAGCTTTATGCTCATTATATTTCTTCAATACAGTTGTGGTAGTTGGTACCAGGGCATTTTTTTGGCAAATAATCCCCAAAACAATTCAATGGTTGTTCTTTAATGAAGTGATAAATTTCAGTCCTAGTCTTCAAATTTCATTTTTAATTTTATTTCTTCTTGTTGCTTTGGCAGCTCTGCTAAGAGATATCACCTCTGTTATAATCTCTGCTCAAAAGTTGTTGCAATGGTCAGCTAAAAATAGTTCCACTGAAAATTACCTACCTATGTAGTCATACTAACCTTGTCTGGATGAACTAGAAATGCTTGTTTTTTGTAAAATTTCTTAATGTCTTCATTGGATGAATCAGCTCGTAATCCAAGTATACTGAAACAGATAGGAAAGTCTGCTTTAATATATAAGTAAAAAAAAAATGCTTTATAATTATCATTTCATTTTCAAAAATGGCTGTCCTTCTAGGACAGCCAGACCCACTCTCAAAACCGGAAAAAGCCCGCCAAGCCTGACCTCGCAGACATTATGCAGAAGCAAAAAATCAAAATTTGGGTAAAAATGATCGCCACAAAGGAACAAACTAAAGTCAGATAGCAAAAGAAACCATCCTCAATAAAGCAGGCCTTCGGGCAGCTGAAAGAGGACAAAGCTTGACATTTTTGTTTTCTTTTTTGGAACTGGAATTATAGTTATCATCATCTCAACTGCCTTGCTGATTAGTCCCTTACAGAACAGTAAGACACATGATGCACTTACAAGGAAAATAAAACTCACATCAAGGCAGCCATCAGAACCCACTGGAACACTTCCCATCTGGGACACAATCATGAAGACCCAATCAATCTCCTCACACAAAAGAAACAGAGCATTATATTTAAATTACTTACTGAGCACAACAGCCTCTGTGGCAATATGTACAAGAAATTCAATATTAGGGATTCAGAACTTTATCTTCGACAGGCTCCGCAGAATACTGAGCATGAGTTACAGACCTGAGTTATGAGTTAGATTATCTTCACAACTTTCCAGACACATCCATAGGTGCTCAGATTCCCTTCTCAACATACTCATCAGCGTTGCGTGGTCCTATGCCAGTCCTATGTTGGTTAACAAGACTTCATGTGTGTCTGGTGTGCTTTTCATGCTTGGCTGTGCCGATCTTTAATCCCAACTCTCGTATTCTTAACAGTGATGTGGACATGTTGCTTCCAAAATGAGTTACAGACATGCTCATTACATGCATCAGAGATATCCCAGGTTGGACTGGCTGGCTTTCCAATTAAAACCAATCTGTACGAAACAGTGGAAGAGATGCATGGCATTACAGACTTCGTGAAAACCCATGGCCTTCTCATTTGAAAACCAGTGACAGAGAAAATGAAAAAGAAAAATAAGAGAAGTCTAGTCTCAGCAATCATGCTTCTCAACATAATGTAACCCTTAACAGTTCATATTAAGAAACTAAGACTACCAGACTACCAGACCAGTTCATATTAGCTGACTTTTTGAGGTTTTGAACAATGGATCAATGTCATGGCACATGGGTAGTTAACCTATAAGTGCTCCATTCTTCTTTTAACTCAAGCCCCTGAGTCTGAAGAAGCTCAGCACAGTGCAGAGGCTCTGTAGCAAGGGATGAGGATCCTGAAATACTTTGGGTAGATTTTCAACTCCAAATTTTGCCCGGGTAAAGGATGAGAATCAAAGAGCTACACGTCCCAGAAACCCTATTCAACCATATTGCCATATAGGACAGTTGTTATATCGGGGCACCAAGAAATAGTAACCTGCAGCCAATTGTGGGTGGGTTTAATGATAAGGTATCTCTACTCATGGTGCTGTTCACGTTTCCAGGCCCAGGATTAGAGTAGCTTCTCTTCATGCTATTCATGCCTCCTTGGGTCGCTGGACCCCTCATACGTTGCGAGATAGTCATGTTTTCCTTGTTGTGAATGGTTTAACCGTTGCCTCTTTTCTCATCGCTCGTTTGCGTGATTATTTTCATGTTCTGCTAAATGCTGACAGTTCGGGGAGTATGGAAACAGAGCTATTTTTCTATTCCTATGCTCCTTGTAACTGCTTTTTTTCTCTCGGAGGAAGTCACTGCCAACGAATGTAGAAATACAAAAACATCCCAGTTTTGACAGCCAAGAATCATCGCACATGCGGCACTTCTCCCTGTAGTACTTCTTACTTCTACACATGTGCCTGTGGTGTCTGAAATAGACTCACAACCCAACCTCCCACAAACATTACATATGATGAGTGAACACCAAACCAAGCCAAATCATAACACCCCTGCAACACAGGAGAGGTCCAGCAACCTATAAGTTACTCTCTTTTCCTGGGCCTGGAAATGTGAACAGGACCAAACTCCCAATTAATTACACATAAGTGAGCAACTGGTAATGTCCTAGTTACACTCCATAAAAACCATTAATTTACCTAGAAATGTGATTACATAAAACTATCTGTATGACTTACCTGTAAGGATCTTGTCCTTTGCAAGCTAATAACCTTTTCATTGCTTCTTCACCTGTAAAAACAAAACAAAATTAAGATAGTAATTATGTTAATGATACAGAAATTTAATGTAAAGAACACATTTTTTAAGAAATTGTAGAATACTGAAGATATCAAGGTCTGCAAATGTTAAACAGAATCAAAAGCTTATGATACTTCTTCTTCTTTGGCATTCTGAGCCTTTGAGGTTTACCAATGCAGCTATCAGCCATCTTCATCCATCTCACTTCAGTTGATAACTTTAAGTCTTCGCAGGTCTACCTGTATGTTATCTCTGAATCGTCTTCTTGGTCTACTGTTCTTGGCCAACTCTCTGTATATGCAGTTTTTGTCTCCCTGTTATCTACCATTCTCTCTATACACACCAACCACTGCAGTCTATTCTCTCTTCATCATCATCATCATTAATTTCCACTTCTGCCATTAAGCATTGTGGGGAGGAACAGTTTGCAATCCGCTGTTTGATAGGCAGCAATGGCCATTGTTATTTCGTGTAGATGCAGAAGCTCTTTAATGTCATCAATCCATGATCTCCTAGGGTGGCCTCTCGCTTTCCCTTCAGATCTTTTCATGTGTAGTGCCTGCGTTGGTAGTTGCTCTGGCTGCTTTCTTACTAAATGACTAAACCATCTGATCTTTTGTTTGCTGCATGGTGTTGTTCCTACAGTCTTGTCTGATAATATCATTTCTAACTTTGTCTTGGATGGTTCAGTTGCTGACTGTTGTCAGGTATTTCATTTTACAGGTAAGTTTATGTAGGTTAGCCTTTGATAATGTCCAAGTCTGGCACTCTTGGTCACATTAATTAGTGGTAATTCAAACAGGTCATAAATGTCACTGTTGCTTCTCACTTTCCATTCTCCGCTGTTCAAATCTTTGATGGGTTTAAAGATTCATGGCAAGTATCTATTCTCAAATGTTTGTAAAAGGTCTTGTTTTTTTTTAGTTTTATTCCAGGTTTCAGGGTCATTAGCCGACTAATTAGCTAGATGCTTTCCCTCCAGCCAAAAGGTCAGATGTTTTTAAAAAATGACCTCGGCTTCCAGGATGACCCAGCCTACAATGGGTACCAGGTAAGGTCCTGGGAAGTAAAGGAGGCAAGCACTGATTGGTCTATTTAAAAAAAAGTCTAGCTGCATATGCCTGATACATAACTGGTGTAAAAAAGAGCCTTTTATGGTGGGTTGGTGATTGTAGGACAATTAGTTTTATCAGTGTTTTAAACACTGTAATTTTGATGTTAAAAGATGTATGACACAACATCACAAACAAATTCTTCTTCTTCTCTCGTTCGCTTGAAATAAATTATCTATATCTGCAATGTTGTCTCTAGTATAAACTTCACTGTCTTTTGCAATTCACTTAGCGGCCCGTAAAGATTGGCTTTCACCAGTGTCTCTCTCGGTCAGAGGTTTTGCCAGGAAATGTTGTATTTGAGACAGTGCACAAACATTTAAAAGCAAATATATTTTTTAAAAATGCCCCATTCCTGTAAAACTAAAACATGGGAGTGTGAAAGACATACAATTTATCAATGAATACAAAAGAAAATCTAATATTTTAAACCTAAATGTTGCAGAACAATTCTTAAACAAGAAGACAAAAACTGGTATTCTCCCTGATGAATATATCACCCACTATAATAAGCCTGTGGGAGTCCGTGGCTTAGGCATTGTGAATGCGCTTCGTAATGTCAGGGTGCCGGGTTCGATCCCAGCGGTGGACGATTTGTCTTGCGTTGGTTTCTACAGTGATACTGAGTGCTGACCATTCAGTCAGAAGCAGTGGCAAACTACTAAACGTAAAATTTGCCTAGAAAAACCACAACAGCCAAAAATGCTGGTGCTGGTTCTGCAACGTCCTGTAAAGGATACGCAACTAACTATAATCAAGCCTATGACAACAGAAAACATGCTGGGAATAGACAGCTCTAGAGAACTACAGTGCATCACAAGAACAAGTATTAGCACCGGAAGCTTTAACATATATTAAGACAGGCTAATGGTATCATAAATCACATTAATATTCCAAAAGATAGATTACACGCTGTGATTATCATAACTGTTTGAAAGGTACACTGTAAGTATATTAAATATAACAATCTATACTCCTACAGTACGTTATAATTAGCACATAATGCTCCACATTAATAAATAACCAAAATGTTGAATTAAGAATCAACATAACAGCACTCAGGACACACCACATAAGCGCTCCATCCCCATCTTCAGCAGCAAGCAAGAGTTCTAATTCTGATGGAATTTAAAATAACCAAAAATATTTCATAAGCATAAAAATTCATTACTGAAATAGAATTTAAAAAACTCTATATATCACAATTATAAACCAAACAGGATAAACAGAATACTGCTGACTGCTGCTACTACTATACTGGCATTCTACAAGAAATCTGGCTTTCACAGAAGGGTACAAGAGTGACTGTGAAGAGATTGGGGCCCCAAAATTCTGGCTTTCACAGAAGGGCACAAGAGTGACAGTGTGAAGAGACTGGGCCCCAAAATTCGGGCTTTCACAGAAGGGTACAAGAGTGACAGTGTGAAGAGATTGGGGCCCCGCAAAATAATATTCTCAAAGAAGTAAGTAGATACACAAATTTACTGCAGTCATCTCCACTGAGGAGCCGGTAAAAAATTAAAAAAAAAAAAAAAAAAATTTTCTCAGAAACATATTCTTCTTACTGCGAACATACGTACCTGTAGCAGGTAGGCAAATATTTTCCTCCAATCCAACATTTCTCAGTAAGAAGTCTTGTGATGTCCATGACTTCTTGTTGTTTGTTTGACCAGGGTCACTAAATATTCTACTTTTCACAAATGTCCATGACTTGCCAATCAGCACCATAAGCAGACTGATTACACCATAGACACTGCCAGGAAAAACAGATTAACGATTACATCATATTTAATATAATACTTTCAGAAATTCAAACACATTTTTGTCATTATGAATTTTTACAAAATGCTGACTTAAACTATATACAGCACAAATTTTAAAAAAAAACCTTTAAAACTAAACTGGCAGTTATTAAATTTGGCAAAGCAAGGCAATTATAAAAAGCAAACCTTCATTGTGTAAACAAAATGATTATGTGGTTAATTTTAAACTTCCTTGGTGATTACTTGGAAAATCTGAGCTATACAGTGTAAGAAGAGACAGTGTGATTTATATATTACAGTTGAAAGGATTCATGTTATGTTCTTTTTTTTTATATACTTATGTAAACCACCGCTGTAATATACCGAGTAAATCATGCCTCAAAATGCAGATTATGGAGAGGCATGATGCCCATGTCGGCAAGGCACTTGATGATGATGATGATGTAAACTCTGCAGTGATGCCTCTGACCAGATTCAGCAAACTATGGCAGGAAATAATTTATGCAATATATTGTTTGTGTCCCCATTTAAATTCACCATACACTAAACCTTTAGCACTGCCCCATGCAATGGTCTGCTGAAATCAGATGCATTGAGCACAAAGGCTTAGATATCACTGTCTAGCTGTAAAACATAACATACCATACCAACCATACTTTTGAGGACAAATGAAGGAGAATAAAAAGAACCTTCAACAATGCATCATAAATAGAACTCTCCTTCTGACGGAAATAGCTTGTCAATTTGTTACTCTTGCTCTTAGCAGAAGGAAAGAACAGTAAGATCACACCCTAACTAACCAAGCTGTGAGAGACAACTAAAAGTACGGTTCTGCTTGGAGTTGGTGGAAGCTAGTTGAGATTTTTATATTTCAATTGAAGACAAAGAGCAGTAGAAGTGACAAAGAGGAGGGCAAGAAAGAAGAAAGGGTCAATGAGGAGGAGGAGGAAGAAGAAGAGGTGAGAAGGAGTAGAAAGACACACAAAAAGGTACAAGAGGAAGAGGGAAGATGGAGAAGGGTATGAAGAAGGTAGAGGTAAGAGAAGGAAGATGATGTCAAGAAGTCAGAGGCAGAAGAAGAGGAGAATGAAGAAGAAGAAGAGTAGAAGAAAGACACAAAGAAAATGAATAAGAATCATATATTTTTTTAAAGTTCATGAACTTACAAGAGCAGAATAATCCATAACATAATGATGAGTAACTTCAACAGGTTGGTAATACAGATAGTACCATAATGGCTTAGCTTGGACCACGGTATGCTGCACCATTTCTCTGAAAAAAATAAAAAAATAATTATTGCAATGCTCTAAAATGAAACATTAATATATTCATTAAACATGATAAAAACAAATGCTTTCACACAATGAACCATTTATTATTGCAATGCTCTAAAATGAAACATTAATATATTCATTAAACATGGGAAAAAAATGGCTTCTCAAACTAAACTGAGATTTAAAAGTGCTGAAACAAAATTATGCATAGTTCAATTCATTCTGAACCCAGTAAACTTTCACATGTATGAAAGGAGGGAGACCAAAAGTGCAGAATGTTTTTTTTAAATATCCAGAAACCATGAGTTATTCCTTTGGCTCGGTACTATGGTCTTAATTCCATAATAAATACCGTATATCTGGGAGAAATGTGGTTTTTTTTGCCTACCCCCGAGTGTAGCTCCACAGGGAGTTCGTCATACGGTCGCTGCGAAGTCAGGCTTAGCCAACTATGCTAGCGAGCAGGACTCCCCTTAGCCCTCCGAAAATTAAGTATGTTCGCTCACATACTAATCATTGCCTCATTGTATGACTTGCTCTGATAACTGTTTTTCTTTCATTCATGCTGTGCTAGTTTTTACTTGCAACAGTTATTGTTTTGTTGTTGTGGTGGTGGTAGTAGTGGTAAGCAGCAGTAAATATTTAACAATCCTTACTACTTTGGAGCAACAACAACAACAAAAACAGTTCACCTTTCAATTCATCAGAAGCCCACATATTATTATCAAAAGAAATGTTCACTTCTTCTTCTTCTTCTTTCGCCTTTAAAAGGGCAGGTAGAAAATGTGTTGTGGTATACAGCGAGGCTGTGATATATCTGTGCCTTCTGGCTAGCCTAACACATCCAATTTCAGCTAACTCCTAATTAGTCATCTTTTTTTGACATGCTTGTTGGGAGAAGTTGGTATATCCACCCTCCAATTCCCCCCCCCCCCCCCCCCCCCCCGAAAAAAAAGGTCCCAAGAACCCCAAGAAGTGTATTTTAAACCAAGTACATTATCACTTGCTCAGTAACAGCTTCAGTCACCAACTTCTTCTATTTTAAAACTATGTTTTCCCCGTTGTATATTTAAATAATGTGTACACAAACAATATATTGCACAATTTATTTGCCTGGCATATTTCCCTGTATCTCATCAGGTGCATTACTACAGAAGTAAATCAACATATGATAATTTAAAAAAAAATGAATCCTTTTCACTGAATTACAAAAATCTCATTGTCAAATTTCTGTACATCTTTCCAAGGGAAATTCAAGACTAGCTGTGTGATTACCATGGCAACTTCTAATTTTGCTTAAATAACAACAGGAAAGTTAAGTGTTATTGATAGGGCTTTGGCCAGTTTCAGCAAATAATTCTGAAGGCGCAATCCTTATCAACTATTCTCTTTTAAAACACGTATTTGTCTCATACATCTACTGATTTATGAGAAGTTTTACTTCTCAACCTGAAACAAAAAGCACTGTTAACAATTCTCAGAACTGAAAATTGACCTCGACCTCTGACGTGGAGCACATAAGTAAATTTTAAGATAACATATCAACACAGACATTGTGCCTACAGTTGGTTACATAAAAGGAAAAGTTAATCCCTTGGCAACAGAGACAGGAACAGACAGAGAAAATCTATATTTCAAGCTTACACACGTGAACAACAAATATTAACAATTTATATTAGCAGCACTAGCTTCAATAAAACGGGAAAGGGCAAAGAGGATTGGAGAGTCATGATAACCCTGTCTGTTCAACCAGATATAAACAGGAGCAATGGTGGTGGCGAGCAGGAGAAGAACAAGTAGGAGGAGGAAGACAATATTAAATTGAGGCAGAAGAAGAAGAAGAAAAACGGATGAGTAAGTGGGGGATAAGAAGAACAAGAAGAATAAGTAGGCGGAAGATTAGTGGCAGTAGGGGAGGAAGAGAAGGAGAATTACAGGCAGGAGAGGGAGGAGGGGATTAGAGCCAGTGGAGAAAGATTCAGAGGCAGTGTTAGGAGGAGGAGGATTAGAGGCAGTGGAGAAAGGTGGGGCAGATTAGGATTTAGAGGCAGTGGAGAAAGATTTAGAGGCTTGGTTAGGAGGAGAAGGATTAGAGGCAGTGGAGGAAGGAAAGGGATTAGGATTTAGAGGCAGTGGAGAGAGAAGGGGCAGATTAGGATTTAGAGGCAGTGGAAAAAGGAGGAGGAGGAGGGTTAGAGGCAGTGGAGAAAGGAAGGAGAGGAGGAGGGTTAGAGGCAGTGGAGAAAGGAAGGAGAGGAGGAGGGTTAGAGGCAGTGGAGAAAGGAAGGAGAGGAGGAGGGTTAGAGGCAGTGGAGAAAGGAAGGAGAGGAGGAGGGTTAGAGGCAGTGGAAAAAGGAGGAGGAGGGCTAGAGGCAGTGGAAAAAGGAGGAGGAGGGTTAGAGGCAGTGGAGAAAGGAGGGGGAGGGTTAGAGGCAGTGGAGAAAGGAGGGGGAGGGTTAGAGGCAGTGGAGAAAGGAGGGGGAGGGTTAGAGGCAGTGGAGAAAGGAGGGGGAGGGTTAGAGGCAGTGGAGAAAGGAGGAGGGTTAAAGGCAGTGGAGAAAGGAGGGGAGGGTTAAAGGCAGTGGAGAAAGGAGGGGCCTTCTGCTTCTTCATCTTCTTCACTTCCTCTTTTACCGCTGTGGGTGTCGAGGGAGATATAAGGTTCTGTTTCTAGCTCTTCTGGCCGCCTCGACCATAGGCACATCGTGCTGTTGTAGAGTTTCTCTGATGTTATCCTTCCATAAATTCTTCTTATCTTTCCATAAATTCTTTTCTTCATTTTAATTAATTTAATATCACAACAAAGAATATTATGAGATTTAAACATGCTAATCAAATAGCAATCGACCATAGCATTCTGAGAGGACAATACATTCATGGTTGAGTTGGCCAGACAAACATATGAACGAAAAAACAAACTTTATTTTCAAAGGGTTACAAATTGGACATGCAGCCTGTCTGACATTCATCCCTTCTAAGCCCTCATCTTTCAGAGTACGAGCAAGAAGCAGGGCCTTATTATCTTCCTCGACATCTGAAGTGGTAAAAAAGGAAGTGGAAAAGAAGCAGAAGAGTTCTAATATTCTAGGTTTAAAATTCACAGACATACAAAAATTATGGGCTGTATATAACAACTAAAATATTTTCTGATAACAACAGCTTAACAATGAAAAGGATACAGATAGATTAGGTGTAGGAGGAAAGCCTTTAATCACTCACTTCACTTAACACATGTTGCTGGAATTCTCCCATGTTATTATATGTTGACACTTAACCCTTTCAGTTCTATAGTCACTAAAACAGCACTTTAAAATCCTAACTATGAGCCCACATGCTACCAGTCTTAGAGTCTGAATGTGTTAAAAAAATACAATTAACAGAAATTGGTGGTCTCCTTGGCAAAGTAGTTAAGCTGTTTGCTTGGTGCCCTGAAGGTTGTGGGTTCATTTCATGGACTGCACCATTTGGTTCATGATGCAATTTTTACAGAAACCTCCTGGGGATCATCACTGAAGTTATGGAGTTCATGCTGTGTGCAACACTCTCAGCAGATGGCTTGCCTTTCTGTGCAGAGAGACCAAGCTAAATGGAATAAAACCTGGTGCAATGAAGGCGATCTCTTTAGTTTTAACGAGTTAAAGTATTAATTAATGAACAGAACAAATTAAAATAACATCTGGGGAAGAATATAACACAAGCATGAGCCAGAGGATCAGAAACATTGTGTATATGAATGTATGGTGTGCTGTCAGGAACAAACAAAAAACATCAATTTTAAAAATGTATTACTGAAAGTAGATCTCTATATACAGTAATAAAAAGGAGACAAACACTGTTCATTAGCCATGTTATGAGAAGAGAGGCAGCACTGTGATAACTGGACAGATCAGTGGGAAGAGGGGTAGAGGCAGACCAAGAGAGATGATGCTGGATGGGCTGAATTGATGGCATGGAGGGATATCATCAAGAGAGCTGTTCCAGGCAACCAGGGATCGTGATATGTGGAGATGCATGAGAGCCTATGCCAACTGGCAGGGCACATGATGATGATAATGATGAAACGTTAAACAAACTAATAAATATATGCTGCTGTCTGGTATGAAAACAGTTAACAGGAAAATCAGAAACGCTAGAAAAACAATAGAGCTTTAAAAGATTTTTGTAAATTGTACCAATTTGTTTCCTGACTTTGCTTGGCCAGGATTGTTTGTCCCGATGCTTGACTTCTACACCATTGTCAGATGTCTCTGCAGCAGCACCATCCTTACAGCTCAGTCCGGTGCTGGAAGGATGTGTGGCAAATGTCTACAGAGCAAGAGATATTGTTTATGATTATCTAATAACTGGGGAGTTGCAGTAATTGTGTGGCTAACATATCTGCCTGCCAGCCAAGTGGTCATTTAGTTTGAATCTCTTCTTTCTTCTTCTTCTGTGTTGGTCTTTAACCCTCTCACCCCAGGAACACACAAAAAAAACCTGAGTCATGACCCCATTTTAAATCCAGAAAAAGCGCATTCAGGAAAAAAACAATCGACAAAGGTCACTAAAAATTCCATACACAATTAAAGTATCTACATTTAAAAATTGTTCCTCCAAAACAAAGGATACATGAGGGAAATAATCAGTAAACATGTACAGAATGAAGCATTAAATGTAATACATTCCCCAGGGACTACAATAACCTACACATCAGGTGACTAATGCCATGACCCCATGACCTCTATCACTGTGGCTTACCGGAAAATATGTCATCAACTTGAATTCTTTTTTTTTTAAAGAAAAAAACTATTTGGCTCACAGAAAACCCTCACAAATGACATGTTTAGTTAATATATTCATATCCTGACCTCCTAAACATGTACGCAGGAGCGAACATAGCCAGCAGCATTAACTGCACGTCTTGCAAACAGGTCAGTACAGACAAGTCGGAAAAGTGACATCTACTGTGAGATGGACCCAGCCAGAAGTGTTGTTTTTGTGGCTTCTCGGGGTGAAAGATGGTTGATGCGCTGTGTTGTGGTTTACTGATAGATCCAACACATGTGATTTCAGCAAATCTTAACCCATAAGAGCAAAGGGTCCGAGTCTATACATATGGGTCAGCACAAAATGCAGTTAGAAATCGTGTTGTGGGAGTGTACAAAGAATTCCTGAATGGTACAAGGGATAAGTCCAGAGTCCCAACCGGGAAGTATTGCCATAACTATGATGCAGAAACCCAGGCAATTCTGGCCTCATTAAAAACAGATAATATGAAAATCAAACGAATGGAAACACACAAGTACTTGGGTAAAACCTTCAACTGCTCCAAAATACTCAGAGAAGAAATACAATCAATGCATTTGGGAAATAAAGAATACTATGCCCTACAAAATCTACTAAAATCAAATGCTGTATCTCTCAACACTATGATAACAATAAATAAAATGCCAATAAGACTAATTGTCTTATATGGCTCTAAAACCTAAAGTATAATTAAAAGAGACCGGGCCTTATTACCAATTTTTGACAGCATAATCTTAAGCTGAATCTTTAGACCCATCAATGATGGCCAATGATGCAAACTGAGAAGCGGAAATGGAGAAGCAACAATGAACTTTATAATGTAGCACAGTTTTTCTTTTTTCGTTCGGTTGAAATAAATTATCTATATCTGCAATGTTGTCTCTAGTATGAACTTTACTGTATTTTGTAATTCACTCAGCGACCCGTAAAGTTTGACTTGCACAAATTTTTCTTTTTGGCCAAAAGTGTTGCCTTGATTTGTATTTGGGACAGTAGTGATTGTATAGGGACTGTAACGCAGTGATTTTGGTAACAGATGTAAGGGAAAATTAGGACTGCTGTGATATGTATAAGGAGATATTCAGGACCTCAGCTCAGGCACAAGAAGGCCCTGTGCTAGTTTTATGATTCCTCAAGTAAGTCTCCTGCCACAATTCATTGTTTTGATAATGACTAAACTGAGCTGGCAGGGGATCTTGAAGCTGGCAGCCACTAGAAATGCAGGGTCTGGAAATCCTCTGACTTTAATCAGCCCACCTCCAATTCATGAGCGATAACGTTCATCAAAATAAAAGCATTTGGAACATAAGTGAAGCCTGCTAGCCGAATATCCTACTAAACGACAAACGTCTGTCAACCAAAAGCCCTACTAAATCATTCAGGGTTGGGTTGTCAGTTGAACAGCCATCTCAGTGTGAACTGTAAAGAGGCAGCTCTGGAAGACTAGCAGATTAGTTCGCAGCACAGATAAGCAACATCTCCTAAAAGTGTTATCTCGTGGTTTGGTCCTATGGCATGTTGTAGAGGTGTGAACATTGAATGTCTTTTTGTGTGACAGGCAAAGTTCAGAAGTCTCATCATCAAATGCATTAATATGTGACAGACAAGGCTCACATGTCTGATACCACTAGCCCCACTTGTCTGCCTGTTGGGATTAAAAGTCAGACCACGGATGATCTACTGTTAGACAGATAAGGTACAGATGTGTGACTGTAAAATACATTGCTGTTTGTTATTAGGGTTCAAATATCCGCAACCACTGGTCCCACTCCTCAGAGCACTGGTACCAATCGGGGAAACCATGCCTGATGCAGCTTTGTCTGTACTGTTGTGCTAAATGTTGTGATGCAACAACCTTAAAGGTGTCTAAAGTGCTGAAAATTATGCCCATCTGAGTGGTCATCAAAGTCCCAGATCTGCTCCCTGTTAATCTCCAGAAAGTGCAACCCATGATGAGCAGGAAGCCCAACATACAAATGTGAGGTTAAGCTGTCATGTGCTTGACATGACGATTATTTTGGTTAGCTCAGGACCAGAGCATCATGGGCCAGCTCTGCTTTTTTTTGGGAGTTGTCTTGAATGGTAGGGAATCCCCATGATCTGCCACTGACTTTCCTTGAGGACTAACCAGTCTAAATGAGGTTGGCCTGGATGAGTTCTCTGCGGGGCAACACCTGTAGATAAAAGGTCAAAGAGGACACCATATAAATGAGGCTAGATCATTTCCCATGAAATAAACCAGAAGGCTAACCCAGGGAACAAATGCCCGATGAAGTTGGATGTGTCGGCTGAACGGTGCAAATATCACAACTATGCTGTAAACATGCATAGCACAATTACATCACTCAGATAAACAATAAAGAGGAAGAAGAAGTTCATAATCTGTTTAAATCACAGTTAACCACTGGCAACATGAGAGCTAACAGAGGCTGGGGCATACAGAGAGAATAGCAGATGACAGAGAGGCAAAAACTGTGTACTCAAGGGAGTTTAATGGGCGTAGACCACAAGGCAGACCAAGAAGACAATGGAGAGATAATATTCAAGCAGACCTACAGTCAACTGAAAAGAAAGGGCTGGTCACAGAAATAAATGGAGGCAGCTGATATCTGCAGCATTTATTTCCAATGGCTCAGAATGCTAAAGAAAACACTGTCTGAGAATTTAACCATATATAGGTATGTCTTCATGTAAGGAAAGAGAAGGAGGAGAAAGGCAAAAAGCAGCAGAAAAATAGGAAGATAAAAATATGAGGAAAGAGGAGAACTATGCACAGGAGAAGAAGCAGAAAATGAAGAAGCAGGAGGTGGACAAGAAGTGTAGGAGGAAGAAGAAATGGGATAGGGAAAGAAGAGAAGTAGTACTTACCTTTTCAACAAATTTCTTTCCCAGTCTAGAGTCTGTGTCTTTGGGCAACTCTTCTGTCCTGTGACAATTAATCCGCTGCCCGCTCTCAGATGCTGCAGTCTTGTTTGTGAGTTTACTAGTGTCTCTGAAATCGTTGTTGATGTAATCCTGCTGACAGGCATTGCTGGAGACCTTGGTGGAAGTTGCAGTGGCTGCTGGCTTGCCATTGTTTAAAATGGTGTCAGGAGTGCCTTTAACTCCAGAAAGGTTGGCTGGTTTATTAAGAACTGGTGTGGTCTTGTTTGAAGTTAAATTCTCAGCTAGATTTTGTACCTTGTTTTTGTTTTCATACTGGAAGATTCTTTTTGGATCAAAAAACAAATCTTTCTTCGGGGCCGTTTGCTGAGACGATGAACTAGTAAGTTTTGAAGACAATGGCGGTTTGGCAGGCTGGGCTAGTTTTGCTTTATCAGACTCTTCCCCTAAAGATCCTTTCAGCACAGACTTAGAGTCTAACACATTGCTCTTTCCCGGGAGCTTGAACAGTTGTTCATCCTTTTTTAATTTCTTCTCAAAGGTGTTGTTTTTAATACTGTCTTCACTATGAGAATGATCAGGTTTAGCACCAAATATTGGTCCATGTTTATGTGTTTTTGCAACATCAGAGTAAGATAGCTTTAATAAATCTGCAGACAATGTTGCTTCAGATGATGGGCCACGTGTCTGAGGCTGACTAGGGATTGCTTTATCTGGTGAGTGAATTTTGTTAGCATTCCGCAAATTCCATTGTTTGCTCGTGGTATAAGGCCTATGTTTCTGCGGGCTTATAACAGTGGTATTTACATTTGAATGACCTTGCCTGTCTGTTTTGCTTCCAGCATCCTGAATGACACTTAGTGGGTCAAACATCTGTAAGTATGCTGTTACATCATCTTCAGTTGTCTCTGGAAAACTTGATGTTTCTGGAAAATTATCCAAGTTCTGCGTTTTGTGTGTGGAAAGCTGATGTGCAGTACTACTATGACTAAATGGGAGTGGTGCACCAAGAAAATTAACATGTGACCAGTTCTCACCAGAAATCTTACTGGACAGTCCTCCATCAGCAGTGCTGCCAACTAGTGTTACTCCTTCCAGTAGCACATTCTCGGACGTAACTGTACTACAGCGAGTATCTTTATCTAATGGACTTGACTGCGAGTGACAATCTGAAGTGCCCAGACCTACCAAAATCTCATGAAATGATTGACGATGCATTTGCTGATGCAACTGAGAATTAGAGTCAATATCTTCATAATTGAAAGTATGATTTGCTCTCTGAAAGTCAGGCTGTAACTTGGACTGTCTTTGGCTGTCAAAACTGCATCTCTGCATTCTCTTCTTAGAAGCATCTGTTAATTCTCCAGTTAAACCGTCTTTAACTTTAAACTTTGGTAAAGTATTCCTTCTATTCCAATCAAAGTGGTTGTGGCCAATAAACTCAGCGCTGCCATTAAATACTCCAAAATCAGTGAGAATGCTGTTTGTGTCTGAATTCACTTGAACTGGTTCAGACAGTGGAACAAAATCTGGCAAATCTAGTGGATTCCATGAGCAGAGATTTTTTAATGCTGCCTGATCTGCTTGTGGAGAAATTCTACTAAATGGTGTCCAATGTTCACTGAAGTTAGAGGAAGCACTTGCTCCAATCTCATCTGGTTTGGCAGCCAGTCTCGAAAACTGATGGGAAACTGGACAGTGTGGATTTTTGTTCTCATCCATTTTTGCTTACTATTTAAAAGGCTGATTCTGAGAAATAAAAAAAAAAAAAACAATTACTCCAGTGGGACATCACTAGATGTAATACAATCCAGTATCCAAAGAAAAGTGGTTGGATAAATACACCTAATTTTTCTCGTCAAGACTCACTTCATCTCTTTTCTAGAAAGGGAAAATGTGTTATTTTCAGACTAAGGAAAGGACACAACAGACTTCACCAACATAATTCTGAACTTTTTGGTGTAGGAAACATAAAGACGTGTCCTTGCAGTTTGCACCATAAACTGCTGAGCATGTACTCCAACAGTGTCAGCTGTGCGTTGCCAACAGAGACACATTTTAGCCTGTTTTAACCACAATACAATACACAGGGAGATATGGACTGCACAATAGCTTTCATAAAGGCTACCGGCCTCCTGATATAAGTTTTCTTATAGAAGGATCAAAAAAGAAAAAAGACTAAATGTTATAAATTTCAGTGATGAGGAAACCTTCTTCTTTTTTTGCTTCTCCTTACAAGGGCAGCTGACATATTGTGGTAAAATTTACAGCTAGGCTGTGATATCTGCACCTTCCGGTCCAACACTTTCAATTATAGCAAAGGACTAATTAGTCATCTTTTGCAACAAAACTGTTGCCGGGGGGGGGGGGGGTGTGGTGGATCTATTCCCCCCCCCTCCCTCTCCCAAAGGCACCCTGGAACCTACTAGTGGAAGAAACAAACAAAATATTGCAGTTTGTTGCATCACATATTGTGCAATATTTTGACAGGTGCATAACTATAGAATATCCCTGTGTGTGGGTTCCGGAGCCCCATTGGGGGGGGGGGGGGGGGGGGGGCAAAAGAATAGACCTACTGCCCTCTAACAAGCAAACTGCTAAAAAAAATTACTAATTTTGAGTGTTTCCTTCAGAGTTAGGATGAATCTGCCTGACAGGTAAGGAAACAAAAGTCTACACACAAGTCAGCCAGATCTGTAAAATGCCTGTGCATGCAAAACTCAAGTTCTGGAACAAGACCAAAATCCAGAAGTGGATGAACAACCAGAATGTTATGCCAGAATTAACAGCCGGTGAAAGCCAAGAAGAGGAAGAGATTACAGAATTCATTAAAAAAAATAATTAGGCATAACAATTAATCATTTTAAATGGAATACAGAAACCACAGTCTATAGCTTAACTGTATATTACACAGTGGGGCTATGTGGTCTCGAGGCATGGTGTCCGCCTCAAGTGCTAGAGGTTCACGGTTCAATTCCCGGTAAGGGCTGAGATTTTTTCATGTGGACTAGGACTTCTAGTAATTCCTCCGGTCTCTGGGTAGTGAGATCAGATGCTTTTGTGCATTGTTGCACATGTAAAAAAATCCCTTGGCAGTTGGAAATCGAAAACAGAAGTCTAAATTCGCTGCCCGGGCAAAATTTACAGTAAAAAATCTACCCAAGGTATTTCAGGATCCTCACCGGTGCAATAGAACCTGTGCAGAGCTTCTTGAGACTCGTGTGCCATGATGTTAATCCGTTGTTCAAAACCTCAAACTGTATATTACACAAGTCTAAGATGACCAGTCAATACTTACTGAGATATTGAAAATATCATGGAAGCTGTCTTTACTTCCCAGAACAGGTTTGCCAGATAGTTGCCGTCTGTGGCTTAGGTATTGTGCGCATGCTTTGTAATGCCCTGGTGCCAGGTTCTATCCCAACTGTGGGTGATTTGGCAGCAGACCACCATGGATTGGTTTTAACGCTGGTACTGAGAGCTTACCATTCAGGAAGCGATAGCAAACTACTGAATGTAAATTGCCTGGTAAAATCACAAATAGCCAACAAAAATTTTGGGTTGGTTCTGCAAAATCTTGTGACAAAAACAACTACTTTTGTGATGTAATTTATTTTATCCTCACCTTGATTAGGATTCTAATCTTACTTAGAAATGGAGGCATAATTTGAGCACATTCTAGAGTTTGTAATTTAAATTTAGTTGTCTTAAATGTTTAATTGCCTGGCTTTCTAGGGTAGTTGGATAAACAGGATTGTGCGGTGACTGGGTGACGAACTCCTTGTGGTCCGGATTCACTTAAATGTTTAATTGCCTGGCTTTCTAGGGTAGTTGGATAAACAGGATTGCGCGGTGACTGGGTGACGAACTCCTTGTGGTCCGGATTCACTCCCGTGGTACGCAAAAAAGCCCCATTTCTCCCAGATTTATGGTATTTACAATGGAATCAAGGCCGAAAGGTTGTGATATCCATAATAATACCAAGCCTAAGGGTTAACAACTCATGGCTTCTGGATACTAAAACAAACAAACGTTTAATTACCTGTTAAAAGATGTGTAAATGACATGATTTATGGAAGGAGGGAGATCAAAAGACCAGAACTTCAAGCGGGCTGGTGCATCCAATTCATAGACCAGACCTTTAAAAAAATTAAGTTTGGTTGTTTGTTCCTTCTAACATATGACCACCAGAAGGCTCGAGCTGTCCATTGCAATATCCAGAATGAAAAGCAATGCATTTTTTTTATCAAGCAAGTGCCGTCTCATCTCTACAGTGAACTAGCTGCAGTGAATCTTCAACATTCTCTGACTCAAATCCTGTTTGTACACTCAGGCTGTTTGTTTATCTCTTGATAATATCCTCCAGCTTGGAAGTGTCTGCTTTTTGCTTGTTCACTGCTCCATTACTATTTTTGTAGGTGTCATGTTTGTTAACATAGCTGCAACATTTCATTTCTATTTCTTATAACAACATTTTTGTCATCAAAATTTCTCTTTTTCATCCTTTGTTTTACATTAAATTCTTTTACTTCCTTCTTCTTCTATCTTTCTGTCAGAAAATGTAAATCAGGAGGCCGGTAGCCTTTATGAAGCTAATGTGCAGTCTGTATATTGTGTGTGTACCATACAGTTTTGTCTTCATTGTGGTTGGAACAGGCCAGATTGCGTTTCAGACCTGTTGTCAGCGTGCAGTTGACAGTGTTGGAGTACTTAGAGCACATGCTCAGCATTTTCAGTTGACAAGTTGCAGGGGCATGTCTCTGTTTATCCACACCCCTAGGTCTTCACTTCGGTTTCATAAATGCTTGTTCGTGTGTGTGTGTATGTGGTGTTAGTGTGTGGTGGATGTGTATTGTACAATGTAAAGATTAGTTTAGTAAATAGTTACTTTAAAAATATATTATATTATATCCACCTTTATTTTCTACAGGCTGCCACTCCTCCAGCGTTTAGTGTACACATTCTGGTCTCTTCTTACCCAGGGCAAGAATAATCATAATGTATTGTATAAAGAATGAAATTTACTTATCACAACACACTAGCACCTTCCGCGTAAGACGCCCCGAAGCTTACCAGGGAAGTAAATCCAAGAGTAGCCAGCAGGTTTCCGTTTAGTTTCGACATGACGCACTCACCACAAAAACACTCAACCCTTTTCTCGGTAACAGTCAACCACAAGTATCGCTTCCGCTGTTGATAACGAGACTGCGCACTCACTCTGCAATGGTGGATTTGTCAGGACAAGAATCCCATTTTAACGTTTCTGCTTTTTCTTTCTTTCTCCCTGTCATTGGTTTTCATATGAGAAGATCAGATGCCTCTATGAAAGATGTCTTATAATGATCCATACAGTTTTGACATAGGGTGCTGGAACCTCCACCCCTCTTTTTGTGTGCCTAGTTCTGAGGTTTGATCAACGGATCAACATCATGACACACGGGTTAGTGCTCCGTTCTTCTAACTCAAGTCTGAGTCCGAAGAAGCTAGCTTAACACAGTGCACAGGCTCTATAGCACCGGCGAGGATCCCGAAATACCTCGGGTAGATTTTTAACTCCAAATTTTGCCCCGGCAGCGCTGTAAGGCTACTCTGCCTGGAAAATGTGCAGAGGGGCAGGTGCGCTCACCCCCACCAATCCATCTGTCGAAGTCATCTTTTAAGTATTTGTTTTTATGTTTCACATTTCCCCGTGTGGGTTCCCGGGCCCTGTTATAGTAAAAACAAGACCAGACCCACTGCCTACCCAGAAGCATGACGTAAGAGACGACTAACTTGGAGCTTCCATCGAAGTCGGAGTGCATTTGCCTGAGAGGTAAGGAACCAACAGTCTGCCTAAAAATGAGTCAGATCTGTAAAACGGATGCGAACGCAACACTCAGATTCTGGAAAAGGACCGCAGTCCAGAATTAGACGAACAACCAGAACTTTCCGTTCTGTTCTTGTTTTCCCTATAATAGAGCCCCGGAACCCACACGGGGAAATCCCCTTAACTGATTCTTACGGCAGGCTTGGGGAAAGGGGGGGGGGTCTGTGTTGTTATGCTGTGCTTTCTCAAATAGCCTTTGTAATGCACATACAACTATGTCGGAATATATTTTGACCTCCACATAATTCCTATTATTTTAAAATTGTCCTTAGCTTTTTATACTGTTATACCTCTGTTGTTTGTTCCTGATGTATGTCTCTACATACATCTACATGTAGTTTTGAGTACCTTACATAATTCTCCAGGAGCCTCCGTCCGTGGTGTAGCGGCTAGACTCTCGCCTGTGGGTCAAAAGGTCGGGGTTTCAGTCCTGACGAAGCATGACTTAAAAAAAAAATGACCTTGGCTCCCAGGTCCAGCCTTAAATTGAGACCAGGTAAAGTCATGGGAAGTCAAGATGACCGGCGGTGTGTTGACCATATCACCCACCGTGTGTCGATTGGACCACAAAACATAGGTTTAGCCCTATATGCCCAGTACACCTAAAGGGGTGTTGACGTTGCTTTACACACACACACACACACACACACACACACACACAATAATCACTTTCAACAAGCATCCCCTAAAGGTGGAAGCTTTTGTTTATAATTGTGACTAGGTTTATGTGCGCCATATAAAATGACTTAACACTGCTCGCCACCAAATACCCCTGAGAAGGGCTCTTGCATTGTTGATGCGATCATTAGAGGTTAAGTTAGTTGCGTATCCTTTACATGACGTCGCAGAACCAACC